TGCTTTACGTAATAGGTTTTCGTTGAAAAAATAGGTATGCAATTATTTGTGGGACACCAAGCCCCAAATAAATCATAATGTTCACTTCAATGATAACCAAAATGCAGGAGGTGGTAAGACAACAATGTTCCCAGCTGGGTATTCTAAGTTCTCCACAGATACCAAGTCCTTTCTTCCCTTAAGCCAACAGAGCATAGAAAGATGCACAGTATGGGTTCCTTACAATTCCCTTTTTATTCTCAGGAGGAACAATCCAACACAAATCTATCCAAATTCCGCAAGCTCCAGCACGAGCTGGAGGAGGCCGAGGAACGGGCTGACATTGCTGAGTCCCAGGTCAACAAGCTGCGGGTGAAGAGCCGAGAGGTTCACACAAAAGTCATAAGTGAAGAGTGAGCATGTCCAGATGCTATGGAATGACTGAAGAGAGGCACAAAATGTGAAGCCTTTGGTCATTTCCCTCTGTAATTATTGTCCATTCTACCCTATTGCAAAGGAAATAAAGAGCATAGGGTATTTTGCAAACAACATCCTTAGACTGGTCTTTCTTAAAGCAGTGACAAAGCTAGAATAAGCATAAGGCTATCAAACAATTGCACTCAACCTGCCACTAAGAAGTAGTACTCACTTTAAGTCTACAGGAATACTTTAAGACTATAAAACTGTTGCCTATCAGGGAAGTCTGTTCTGGAAGAAATCTGGAAGACACGTTTTATTTCTTTCTAACCTCTCCTTAATACCAGGACATAATAGGATCCTAGAAAGCTCCTGATCCCCCCAACATGAACCTAATTTTCTAGGTCTATGCAAAGAATGGCACTGGCTGTATTCTCAAATAGGGGATTCAGATTACACTATATCACTACTTCTCCTTGATGTCATCAAGAATACAAATCCGAAGTATTATTAATAGCCCATAAAGACTTTCATCATGAATATCCATATACTGTATATTCAGAGAACGCACACCAGGTAATGGGTATGACATGAGTGAGATGTGACCCTTCTCCCTATGAAAGCTACAAGGTGGCTCTCAAGTCTGGAGCCAAGAGAATATTATTTTATATATTATAATGTAATATCAATAAGTTATTTATTAGCCTATGTTTCCAGACCTGCTGGCTGCCTTTATAATCATGTGAAGGGCCAAAATAAATTATCAGAAGTGTCCATAAAATATGAGTCCTAAAATAGACAATTTGGGTGTAAATTCAACACACATAACCATCGGCATGACTTTGGTGCAAAACCCAGAAGTAGTAGCCATCTGAATTACTCAGAGAAGTTTTCCTAGATGATCAAGATTTTTTAAACTGGATTCCGTTGAGACACATAGCCCAAAGTATAACCTTCCTGGACAGCATAAACGAAAAGCTAAGTGGTAACTATCCATATGAATGGAAAGCAAGAGTATATGGGTTTAAATTGCACCGTGGGAGAATCAGACACGTGGGAGCAGCTTAGCAGGTAATTAGGATTCCCATTGTCCCACTGGCCCAAGGAAGGGTGTGGGATCGCCCTTCTTCCTGCTTTGGCCCATCTTTCACTTTGTTCCACATCACCTATAAATGCTGAAGTGCCTTATAATTTGGCAGTAATAAGCAAAAAACAATGTCTTATAACAAGCTTACTGCAAAACCTATCCAGCACGGGTCAAAAGGAGGTCTTAAAATTCCTATCAAATCCTACTGAGAACATTATGAAAATGTCCTCTCTTCCTGAGAAGCACTGCCCACATTTTTCACATGCCTGCTAAAAAAAAAATGTATGTGGGGGAAAAAAAAAAAGACACGGATATGTAAGGAAGTAAAAATGCTATACCTGTCATCACAAAGCGGGTTGAGGGTTGGCTAGGAAGGCTCCCATCAGACGCATGTCTCCTGGAAGACCCTTCCTGATGGCTTTAATCTACTCCAGGTAGAAGATTGGTAGCAGCAAGCACACTGGGCTGCCATGCCAATCAGGTGCCCGGGGTCTAGGCTGCTATGTAATTTGTGGTCACTCTCTTCTATTCTTAGGATCTCAGCTGTTTTCTTAGTCAAATGAGGAATATGGGTTAGATGGTCCCTTCCAGTCCGTAATATATCACATGACCATTACAACCAGTATCTCCAGATATCTGCTTTCCTAAGGCGATCTGTTTCATTAAATCGATTGAAATGTATGTATAATAATACAGGAACTGTTGCAAAATGGGGGATATGAAGCAAATTTGGTCTCCGTCCCAGACGGACAAGGCTGACATAAAGAGACACAAGACAAGAGACAATAAAATCATTTTTTAAAAAATTAAACATGAGAATAGAAAACAACATTCAGGTATCATTTGTAAGCAAAATGAAATGTATACCTTGGGCAGCTGATGGAGAAGCCCTAGATGCTGCATATTTAGACAGAGAAATGCCCTGTTTTCTAAAATTTTCCTATGCCGAGTTTCACAGAGGAAACAGGATTTCACAAGCAATTTGCATTTTTTCAAAGCGAGAGAAGCAGGACATCTCAGATTGGCGACACAAAGCAGTGGGGAGCATGCCTGAGGTGGGAGTGGTCTGATCTGACAATGAATCAGGGGCAGTTGACCAGAGTCAACAAAAGCAACTGTGTGTGGCTGCTCTTTAGGAAGCAAGTTTTTAAAATCATATTTCCAAGCACCCTCGACAAAGCCGAAACAAAACAAAACAAAAAAACTTCGTGCCTTCTGGGGAGGAACGGACAATCTTTTTCTAACATCCTGGTAAAGAGCAGCAAGTTCCCTTCCCAGTCTAGTATGTGCAATTGTGCGGGCAGTTGCAAAGGTTTCACGTGCAGGCAGGCAACTCCGCGAAACTGCACGGCAGCAGCAACAAAAGTGCAGGGACTGCGGAACTTTGAAACAACAACTTACATTATTCCAAAGCCAGATCGCTTTCACATGGCCAACCTCTCGAATTATTTATAGGAGATTGATTCATATACTTAACCAAATGTGAGAGGAAATACTTCTAATTATATCCAAACATCTTTAATATGAGGGGAATTATGCTTGGAGTCCTTCATTGCCAAAAACATGTTTTGCCAAATATGTTTTAAGAAAGAGGAGGAGGCTACGTGTTTTCCATATTTGACCCTATAAAAGTACCCTTGGAATGGGTATGACTTGTCTTTCCTCATAAAGCTTCAAGGTAAGTGTGTGTGAGGACAGGGCTCTGTCTGAAGATGGTAGCGATATCTGGCAGCCCGCATGCATGCCACGCATCCTGGCTCCCACTGCCCCTGGCAGTTCTTCCAGTGAGGCACCAACTTACTCTGTAGCAATTTGAATTAGCTGTTTTAGTGTTCCCAGTCATTTACTGATTCTCACTTAAGAATTACGCTATTATTAGGAATGGTTAGAGTCTAACGAGAAGAAATTCGCTCTTTTTCTTACAGTTCTGACCCACTTCCAGGTTGTATTTCTAAGGTAAGATACTGATTTTTTTTTTCTCATTCTTCACCGGGTGCAAGAAATCTTCCACAGTGGTTGGAGGGTGCCCAGGGGGTTATAAAATGAAAGCATTTTCATTTCATGGCTGATCATGCTTCCCTTGAAAAATTCTGAGAGGGGCTTTAGGAACTCGTTCTCATTAATTTATATCCTCTGCAATACCTTTAAATGCTTTCTTAGAGTTTTGAGGAGTTTTATACACAATTTTTTTTTCTATTTCCAGCACTGCAGTCTGTCTTTTAAATAACTACAACATGCAGTACATTTTGGTGTTACTATTCATTTATCGAGAAAAATGTAAATTTCCTATATTACAGGTTTTCCTCAGCACCATATACTGTAAAAAACAAACAAACAAAAAAAAAAAACAACAACAACCAAACCCTGAAATGCTGTCTGAATGAACAGAGTCCTTGCCTTGGAAAAGAAGCTTAAATCCGCATGTTGTTTCACAGTGTATAAAATGGAAAAACATTTTTAAATGCTATGAAAAATGATTGTGAGCATTTTCAGCAAGACAAGTATTTTGTATTATCCAAATCACTGCAGTTTGAATGGAAAAATGTAGAAAAGTTTACACAAGTGCTTTGAGTTTTTCTGGAAGAAAATATCTTTATTATTATAAAACAAATTACCTCTGATCATTATTGACAGGGTTAATGAATATTAAAGTGGCAAGAGATGGATGGATCTTGAAAAGAAAGTTCTGTGAAATTTTTATGAGACTCTCAGTAATAAAGCAAGAAAACAGATAATAATATTTTATAATAAGTCTTTGAGAAATACTAAAGACAAGTAAAAAAGCCAAATTTTCAAAATTATGGAAACAAGAGAAACTAATGTAAAATAGAATAATTTTTTAACAAAACAATATAAAGCAAATCTCCCTACATTTCTGCTTTCCTTTATCAGGTAGGCTTTGTAAATCTATAATGAATCCAAATCTATAATGAAAAGATTTTCACTACATACAAAAATAGTTCCTGGAATTTTCACAACATAAATCTTTGTACTTTTAATTCACAAAGCCGGCTTTGAGCCCTTCCCTGTATCCAGCATGTGTCCTAAGAGGTATGAAGGATGCCTTGAAAGAAAAGTGTTCCCTGACTGCAAGGTGCTTATAATCCAATTGGAAGATAAGAGCTCTCCATGAAAGAGCTAGGGGACACCCTGCCACCATCTTAGCTTGTGTTCTGTATAAGCCAATCACAGGCCACATATAGAAATTAACATATATACCAAATAAAATAGAGAAAGTAGCTACAATATCCTATGGCAGGTGAGTCAGAAACTACAGTCTCTGCAAATGCTCGATTAAGTACCTGTCAGCGTTGGCACAGAACACCAACACTGACATTTCATCTCCAGCCAAGCCAGGGAGGTAGGTGGTCGTACTCAACACAATGCTAAGCGCTCAACTGCTCAGTGACTCAAAAATGTTTTCTTTTTCTAAATGTGACATAGAATATCTGAATTCCTAGAATATCTTTTCTTTCCCTTCCAGGCAGGGTCTTCGACTGGGCTGAGTTCAGCAGCCATGAGTTCAGACCAGGAAATGGCCATTTTTGGGGAGGCAGCTCTGTACCTCCGAAAGTCTGAAAAGGAGCGCATTGAGGCCCAGAATAGGCCCTTTGATGCCAAGACATCTGTCTTTGTGGTGGAGCCCAAAGAATCCTTTGTGAAAGGGACCATCCAGAGCAGAGAAGGAGGGAAAGTGACGGTGAAGACCGAAGCTGGAACAGTAAGTACAGTCCCTGGAGCCGGCCACATTTTATCAATTCTTGTGTTCCATCTCTCAATTGACATGAACCGTTATGTTCCCTGTTTACCAGACTCTGACAGTGAAAGATGATCAAGTCTTCCCCATGAACCCTCCCAAGTATGACAAGATCGAGGACATGGCCATGATGACCCACCTGCACGAGCCCGCTGTTCTGTACAACCTCAAAGAGCGTTATGCAGCCTGGATGATCTACGTGAGTTCATTCTCATGGCCTTCTGCTCATGCAGCTAATTAATAGTTTTGAAAAACAGTAGATTATTAAGGTCCTCATGAGATGATTATATTTCTTTTCTTTTTCGTTTTGGTGTAGACCTACTCAGGCCTCTTCTGCGTCACAGTCAACCCCTACAAGTGGCTGCCAGTGTACAATGCAGAGGTGGTGACAGCCTACCGAGGCAAGAAGCGCCAGGAAGCCCCGCCCCACATCTTCTCCATCTCCGACAATGCCTATCAGTTCATGCTGACGGGTGAGTGGCTCAAGTGTTTCTCATACAAATTACTTGACCACCTAGAGTCACAAAGTGTTAAAGCTAAACAGATCTTTGGAGATAATCTAATCCAAGCTTCTGGTTGTACAGAAGAGGTAACTGAAGCACAGAGGGACATGCCGTCAAAGCTGGAACTAAAACCTAGCTCTCCAGACCCCACCTCCGTGATTTTACCAAGACACGCCTCGGCTCTCCGCTATCCCTTTAAACTTAACTTGCTTGCAGTCTCCTCCTTGGAAATACATAATTTATGGTATAGATTTAAGTAACAATAGTTAAGATTAAGTAACAGCAGAATCACATTGAGTGGAAATGAAAAATATGCATTCAATCCTTTTGTGCTTAAGTGTCTTGTTGACTACAAATTTGATGCTTTTTAGGAGTACTGTTACCTTTAAAGTCATCAGAGACCATCTCAGAGAAGAAAGCCTCTCTTTGAATGAAAATGGTATTTGGGGGCTACATGCACAGACACAAAAGTTGTTGTTTTCTCCTCCCTTAAAAGAATTTTTGTTCTGATTGAGGCAGTTCCCTCACCTGATGGCATACTTTTGGCAGGACTGATCAGAGTTAGGGTTGCAGGCTGTGGCCATAAGATACTTTTTTTTTCCTCCGCTTTGTGAGGCCAATTGACTCATTTAGAAACTAAATCTCAACCTTGGCTTGATGAACACTATTTAAACCTATTAAACTACAATCCAAACCCTTCGTATATTTTGCATTTTTTAGTTGTATGCATGAATTAGCAGTGAGTATGCTACTGAAATTCACAGCTGACAACTAGAGAATGTGTCTGGCTGTGGAAAGTACTAAACCAGGACACACTTACTATGAGGGCTTAAGGAATTTAAGATATAACAACATTTTATGTTTCTCTTCAACTTAAGAGGTTTAAGAATAATATATATAACTTTATAATAATATATTTAAAAACTCCATTTAAAATGACACAGTATTTATACTCAACGCCCCAGGTGTTTTCCTATAGAAAGTTCTGTTTGTGTAACTGGTATGATGCTGACTGCCCACTGTTTTTCTTCTAGATCGGGAGAATCAGTCCATCTTAATCACGTATGTATTACTAATCTTGGATGTATTAGCATTTTATTTGCACTGGGAAAACGACAAACTAAAAGAAATTAGTTAGTGCTCCCATATCGAAGCAATGCTGGTCAGCCTGGAACTGGATACTGTTTGTACTTTGTTGTAGGGTTCAGACTGCATCAGAATATAAAATAACAATGTCCTAAACTTTGTAATTTACTAGTCCGGTCTTAAAAGCTGCCCAGAACTTTCCTAAGAGTATGGGCTATAAACCCTTTCTCTGTGCAAGGCCAGGACCCGTTACGTGGCAGTGAACAACATATACAGCCTTCTGAACGTTGAGCCGTTGGGAATGTTCCCAGTGGCCCAACTTTAATGGCCTACTTGAGAAATGTCTAGTCCCTCAAAGGCTTCACTTAAGCCATGTCTTTAGTCTAAGGAAACTGAAGAACATATGTATTGTTTATCATAGAGTTTTTTACGGTTTCATTTCCCATATAGTCATTGGGTGGCTGCCTTTTGGACCTCTCAAGTCCAGGCCACAGCACTTGGAACAGAGCCTGGCACATTTTCCAGAAATATGTGTTAGGTGATTAATGAATGAATTTCCCTACTTTTTGTCAGTGCAAAACAACAGAAGTAATATGAGCTATAGTAGGCTAAAGAGAAAGACCTAGAGGAAACTGACAAAGACATATAAAGATGGACGCATAAGGTAGTAAATGCTGATGATGGAAGTACTTTCATTTGTCACATAGCTTAATTCCTCATGTATGTCTGGTCTCTGTTTAACAGTGGAGAATCTGGTGCAGGGAAGACTGTGAACACTAAGCGTGTCATCCAGTACTTTGCAACAATTGCAGTCACTGGGGACAAGAAGAAGGAGGAAATTACTTCTGGCAAAATACAGGTAGGTCTGGGGTCAGACTCAAGACTCTCAGCGCTCTCAGAAATTCTGGAGCACCAGAGGTGAGGACCGCTCTTGCCTTTGCAGGGGACACTTGAAGATCAAATCATCAGCGCCAACCCCCTACTGGAGGCCTTTGGCAACGCCAAGACTGTGAGGAATGACAACTCCTCTCGCTTTGTAAGTCTCCTGGTCACAGAGGGATCTTCTCAGCCCTTCCGTGCCAGAGAAAGCACGTCTGAATTATCATTTCCATCTCATTTTTCTCGAGTGCTTCAAGTTTTGTATGTAACATCATCATTTCTACTTGCAAGGGTAAATTCATCAGGATCCACTTCGGTACCACGGGAAAACTGGCTTCTGCTGATATTGAAACATGTGAGTAACAGGACCTCCTAAACAGAATCCAAGAATGACAAATGATGATCTGGAGGAACATTTTGCAGCTCCTGCTGAGCCCGGAGCCTGTGAAACACGTCTGTTGCCAAACATGCCCATAGTTAATGCCAGTCTTATGCATAGCCCACAGTGTGCTTTATCCCAGTCATGAGCTAATGATTCTGTAAGAACCGCCAAAAGCCATGGGGCTTGTCTGAGATATTCCAGTCTCAGAATGGATTTCAACTTTCTCTAAGACAACACTCCACTAGGGTAAATGAGTTGCCTTCAGGTTGAGAATAGGTGATTTCTTCCTAGCCTGAGACTTGATAAATGTTGCTCTTAGTGCTCTCTCTGTTATAAAGCAAAAAAAGACCCTGAGGAGGGAGGGGTTCTCAAGAATCAATTATATCCCAAATGTCAAGGATCTTCTGCAAGAGAAGTGTCTATGTCTTGGGCCAGGCATGCTTCAGTTTCTTTCCAGAGGTGGTAAGAGCACCCGTAATGGTGTTTGTAGAGGTAAAATATGTAGCCTATGTTGTAGAGGCACAACATTCAGCTGAAATCTCAACAGGTCAGTGAGATTTTTTAGTTAATCATCCCAAATTCCAAAATCACTTCAGGAACTTTATAATTTTTCCCCCCGACCAGTGTCTTCTTTTCATTGCAGATCTTCTGGAGAAGTCTAGAGTTACTTTCCAGCTGAAGGCAGAAAGGAGCTACCACATTTTCTATCAGATCATGTCTAACAAGAAGCCAGATCTAATTGGTAAGAAGGAGCTTAAATTTATAAGGTAGAAGTTAATCATTTTATTAACAACTTCTAATGTAAAACATATACCCTGAATTCTGTGTACCCAGAAATGCTCCTGATCACCACCAACCCATATGACTATGCCTTCGTCAGTCAAGGGGAGATCACCGTCCCTAGCATTGATGACCAAGAAGAGCTGATGGCCACAGATGTAAGTTACACATACAGTTGGTTTTTTTAAATCCATTATGTATGGGAATGACAATAACACCCCTCTATAGGCATGGTTAAGGATATGGTATAAATTCTCCTAAATAAATTAGTGTCTTCTGCCCTTTTGTCCTCTCATCTTTCCTGGTAGAGTGCCATTGAAATCCTGGGCTTCACCTCTGATGAAAGAATGTCCATCTATAAGCTCACGGGGGCTGTGATGCATTATGGGAACATGAAGTTCAAGCAGAAGCAGCGTGAGGAGCAGGCCGAGCCAGACGGCACTGAAGGTAATACAGACAAAAAGCTCATTCCAAATTCATGTCTTCTTTACAGTTGAGCTTCTGATAAATGTATGCAAATTCACCCCCATACAGACTTTCTATAAAATGTTTCACTCATCACTCTGCCCCGATGAATTGTGGGGCCCACAGTAGGTCATGTAGGGTGCGTGAATTATGTCTCTGCAGTTGCTGACAAGGCGGCCTATCTCCAGAGTCTGAACTCTGCTGACCTGCTCAAAGCCCTCTGCTACCCCAGGGTCAAGGTCGGCAATGAGTACGTCACCAAAGGCCAGACTGTGCAGCAGGTGAGTGCATGACCTCAAGGAATGACACCCGTCCCAGGCCTTCACAGCATGTCTCCTGTAGCATCAACAATCACTACTCTGTCCACGAAGGTGTACAACGCGGTGGGCGCTCTGGCCAAGGCCGTCTACGAGAAGATGTTCCTGTGGATGGTCACCCGCATCAACCAGCAGCTGGACACCAAGCAGCCCAGACAGTACTTCATCGGGGTCTTGGACATCGCCGGCTTTGAGATCTTTGATGTGAGTTGTTTGAATAAGTGGCCTTTTTAAGGCCCTTCCTCTTTGTGTCTCTTTTGCTGAATCCCCACTGGGTTTACCAGACTCACTCAAACTCCTTGCTATTTGCAACACCTAGTTCAACAGCCTGGAGCAGCTGTGCATCAACTTCACCAACGAGAAGCTGCAACAGTTCTTCAACCACCACATGTTTGTGCTGGAGCAGGAGGAATACAAGAAGGAAGGCATTGAGTGGGAGTTCATCGACTTCGGGATGGACCTGGCTGCCTGCATCGAGCTCATTGAGAAGGTTCGCTTGCTTTTTTCAGGTCACAGATTATACCACTGAGAAAAATCTTAAAAGACTTCTACTCATAAATAAAATCAGGAAAACTCCTTCTTTTGCTAACTCTGAGGGAGATATTCTGGTAAAAGGAGAGTGAATATTCTCTCTAGCGTCCAGAACTTTCCATCTCCTGACAGTTTGCAATACAAGGCCTTATATTTAAAGCCACCTTTCCTTATAAGAGTGTACTATAAAGAGTATTTTTTACTTATTATCCCTTTGTCATCCTTAGATTCATTTTTACTGACAACTGAAATAATGAATTTCTAGTACTTTAAAGCAGAGGATCTCAAACTTCAGTTTGAGTCTCACCACAAGTACTTAAGAAAATTGAAGAATTCCCTAATCTTACTCCTGGGAAAACTTTTTAGGAAGTGTGGGATGGAACCTTGGAATCTTCATTTTCACCAAGTGTTTCTGATGCAACCAGTTTGCAAGTCACACTTGGAGAAATACGGCTGTGGAGCCATGGGGCAAGACATAAACTCCAGGAGCCACCCACCCCAGAGCCTGACAAAGCACCCGGATCTCAACAGGCCCTCAATAAATATTTGCTAATTTAACAACTTCTGACCCAAGGGATGAGTTTTCATTAATTGTAAGAAATTAAAGGATGAATTTACTCAAATAGGATCAAGATGTCACATATTATTTCTACAAGCAGACAAAATTGAAAGGCATTTGTTTCTTTACATCCTTTCAGCCCATGGGCATCTTCTCTATCCTGGAAGAGGAGTGCATGTTCCCCAAGGCCACAGACACCTCCTTCAAGAACAAGCTATATGAGCAGCACCTTGGAAAGTCAGCCAACTTCCAGAAGCCCAAGCCTGCCAAAGGCAAGGCCGAGGCGCACTTCTCTCTGGTCCACTACGCCGGCACCGTGGACTACAACATCGCCGGCTGGCTGGACAAGAACAAGGACCCCCTGAATGAGACCGTGGTTGGGCTGTACCAGAAGTCTGCAATGAAGACTCTGGCTTACCTCTTCTCTGGGGCAGCAGCTGCTGAAGCAGGTAAATTCCAAAAGAAGTTATCCTTTATTTAATGTATCAAACATACACTGAGAAAGCCTGTGCAATGATTTCTTGTGCTCTGTCTGCCCCCCTTAGAGGCTGGCGGTGGCAAGAAAGGTGGCAAGAAGAAGGGTTCTTCTTTCCAGACCGTGTCTGCTCTCTTCAGGGTACGAACTTCCTTTGCTCCATCTTATTAGATTCAGGAACTTAAATTTTACTGTATTTGTGGAGAAAAGGAAGTAATCTTGTAAGGACTCCAGAACTGGATGTGACTCAAAGAGACAGGTCAGTGGGTGGTAGTTGAACAGAGTCTTAGAGAGCTTGGGGTTGTTTGGAAGAGACACCTCAGTATATAGGAGACAAGGTGTCAGGAGGGATGAGAGTGAATTGCAGAAGTCAGCATCAGATGATAAAATTAAATTTGGGGGCCAGGAAATAAGGTCATTTGACATTTAAAAGGTTCTGCTGGGATAGGACTAAGCAAAACATGAGATTTGCTGGAGCCTGTGGGAGCCTCCAAATGATGTATACTCGCTCAGAACTGAAGTGAGTGGATTTTGAAAGCCGAAGACAGAAGATCACTGTTGGGAATTGGAGGCTGATTCTAAACAAAGGAAATAAAAAACCAGATGTGATAAGAAATAGCTCTTGAAGGAAAATTTACTTTTCTTAGGATAATCCTATCTGTAATAAGGGAAGGTTTAGTTATTCTGAAAAACCAGGATTTCCACAAGTTGAAACACTTCTTCTCACACTTGGTAACATGGCTGTTGGTGTTCTGCCAATTCCCAGAGTAAGGCACTAAAAGGCCACTTTTTGTGGAATGAGTAGGAGGACACAGCTCTGTAATTAGGATAAGGAATAGGAATGTGATCGAGAAGCAGATACAACTGAAAATAGGGTAAAGAAAGAGAGATTTGGAAGAAGACACTGAATTATTTGTAAAGCCAGATCACACATCTAGACCTGAAAGTCCAGGTAGAATATTTCCCTACATTTAGAATATCATACTAAATCTACAACACATACTAGGAAATTCAGCAGCAGTGACCACCTCAACAACTAATAGAAAAACATGTTTATAATGCACAAAAACAGGAAGAGAAGGACATTTTGGGAATGTGGAAATTCCAGAAATAACTTCTCATTTTCAAATCTGGATTCTATTCAGATAGTATCTGAGTTAGATACTGTTGGATCCTATAATTAGATACTATTAGAATTGAGCCAATGTCACAGATGTCACGATGATTATGTCTGTAAATATGAATGTATGAAAAGAGTGCTTCTTAAAACCAAATATTCATAAATTCCACAGGAGAATTTGAATAAGCTGATGACCAACCTGAGGAGCACTCACCCCCACTTTGTACGGTGTATCATCCCCAATGAAACCAAGACCCCAGGTAAGACACTTCTGGTATCTAAACAAGCTCCAGGGTGTTTGCTTTAGACCATGATATAAGGCATGTATTCTTCTCTCAGGGGCCATGGAGCATGAACTTGTCCTGCACCAGCTGCGGTGTAACGGTGTGCTGGAAGGGATCCGCATCTGCAGGAAGGGGTTCCCAAGCAGGATCCTTTATGCAGACTTCAAACAGAGGTCAGACTCTCTCACTGCCAATTGTTTTGAGGTTCTTTTATTCATTTTAATTTTTTCGATGGAAAAATCCTTTATATTTTCTATTATAATTGAAAAAAAGAGAAACACATTTGACAGACTCTGTATTGACAAACCAAAAGTTTGACAACCTTTGATATACAGAGAATAAAGACATGGATATGATTTTTTGTTTATGTTTGCTAGACTACCCAAAGTCTACGTCATTTCTATAGTAAGGCAAGAAGAAGTCTTGTTGGTGACAACAGCTCTATCACTTATTTGTTTGGCCTAAACAGATACAAGGTATTAAATGCAAGTGCTATCCCCGAAGGACAGTTCATTGACAGCAAGAAAGCTTCTGAGAAGCTTCTTGGGTCCATCGATGTTGACCACACCCAGTATAAATTTGGTCACACCAAGGTAATGGTCTCTAAAGCCTACCTGATGCTATCTGTGTCCCTTTGAAGTTTATGTATAGTGTCTGATCTGCAACTCTTCCCATGCACAGGTCTTTTTCAAGGCTGGTCTTCTGGGGCTCCTAGAGGAGATGCGAGATGACAAGTTGGCCCAGCTGATTACTAGAACCCAGGCCAGGTGCAGAGGGTTCTTGGCAAGAGTGGAGTACCAGAAGATGGTGGAGAGAAGGTATTAATAGAGATACTCTACTGAGACCTCCTTGGCCTAAGCTCTTCTAACTCTGCTTCCTGTTGGAACCTGACTTTGACCACTTCTGCTCTTATCACAGAGAGTCCATCTTCTGCATCCAATACAACGTCCGTGCATTCATGAACGTCAAGCACTGGCCCTGGATGAAGCTGTATTTCAAGATCAAGCCACTCCTCAAGAGCGCGGAGACAGAAAAGGAGATGGCCAACATGAAGGAAGAGTTTGAGAAGACCAAAGAAAACCTTGCCAAGGCTGAGGCCAAAAGGAAAGAGCTGGAAGAGAAAATGGTTGCTCTCATGCAAGAGAAAAATGACCTGCAGCTCCAGGTCCAAGCTGTGAGTATCAGAGCCCATTTCATGCAATCAGATGCTAACATTTCAGTTCAGCAGTTGCTAGAGGAAGGTCTAAATTCCACCTCACTAAGGGACTATCAATGTTTCCTAATTCACAACTCCTTAGAAGTTCTACACAATCCCAGACACAACATTACTACCAAGCACTGTGGTAGGATCCCTTGGTGCTGAAAAGGAAAAAATGAAAGCACTTCCCCTTTCCCCCTATTGTTTCTCCTAGAAAAATGTGGGCAAAAAGTGAGGTGATCTTTGCTCCATAAGATTCTCCCAACTGAAAAGAGCACATAAGACCAGTGAGAAAAAGAAAATATTCACAGTGGAGAGGGAGGAGACGTTGTGATGGAAATGCATCAACTTGAAATCAATATGAAACCAACGGGCAACTCTCCTCTCCACTCTGTCTTTGGAAACCGTCTAGTACCTGAAAGAATATAGTCATTGCAAGGATAATGGCAATACTTTCTACAGATAGTGTCAGTTTTTAAAAGCAAAGCATGAGATGGGGTTGATATTCTTGTTCTGATGTCCCAATAAACATCCAGAAGACTGGGAAGAAATATTTGATCAAACACCACGGTCTAACCCACTTTTGTGACTCAAATGACAAGAGAGTTTGCTACTGAGACCAACAACCTAAACCCTGAAAGTGACCCTGTAGTCCTCTGAATTCAGAAGCAAATAGACATTGGTCCAGTGAGTATTTAGGCTTGGGACACTCAACTAGAAAATTTAAAGAAAGATGAGCTGTCTGTGCCTACCTAGGTTGGCATTATGCCTTTCCCTGTACTTGATGTACAACAGGGTTTTTCAAATTAAGGAGAGGTTCATCACACCTTGGCGAACCAGTGAATAACTGTAGGGTGTATCTAAGTTTAGTCTGAGCATACTCCTCTCCTTCAAGAATAGTATGATCTCTTTTCAGCATCATTCCCTCAACTCTCCACATTTAATAAATACATGAGGACACATTCCAAGCACTAGGGATACAACTTGAAGCAGGAGACACAGTCCCTGCTCCCACAGAGTTTCTATTCCAACCCCTATTCCTTCTCATGAGAAACGTGCTCGCTACTTCTCTATGCACCACCTTTGAACATGTTCAGCTCCCCTTATTTCTTCCATGTGTTCCCTGTAATTCCCAGTTACTCTGTAGGACATCTTCCCTTTAAGTCACTTTTCTGGTATTACCCCTCCCTCTGAGCAAACCGCTCGATACCTGACCATTTTGTTTCTCATAAAGTTTTTCTGGAAATAAATATTAAATAAAGAAAGGTGACTGATCTGAAATTATATACCAACACATTAAATGTAGGTGACATCAAGCAGGGGAGGAAAAAGTTTTCCTGGACCCTCTCAATAAGGTCCCTGGCTGGGTCTGAAAATTTAAAAATTGATCAACAGGAGAGAAGCATGCATATTTATTGATTTTTACATGTACACAGGAGCCTTTACAAGACACTGACAACCCAAAGAAGTAAGCAGAGCAGGAAGCTTGTGTATCTTTTAGACAAACGATAGATTTGTAAAGAATTGATAAGACAAAGGGGTTTGAGCTAAGGGTAGTAAATGGTGAAGAAGTAACTAAAGAAGATAAAGGTTATTTTAACAAGGTTTATTTATGCAGCCTTCTTGGCTCCCAATTCCCATCTCTGGTGATAAGAATGTCTTCTTTCCTCCTAGTACAGGGAGGGTACTTTTCACATGGGAGTTTAATGAGCTGTTTCAGGGAAGAAGGGTGAGTAGAGGAGGTCAGAGTGGGCTTCCTACTTCAGCCATTTTCTCAAACTCCTTCAGTTTATGGTACACAATATGCCAAGGGCCATATTTAGGGACAGTGTGTCCTGAACCTCATCATTAGCAAAGAGAAGTGTATCATAATTTCACCAAGAACCCTGACTTAAATTCCTTTTTAAAAAAATCTGCAGTGCCATAATAAGTGCCCAATAAATCTCTCTCAGATGATGGAAAGCTTATAAAAATTAACCTAAGGCTTTAAAACACAATTCACTTGTTTGGTTTCAAAATATTAATAAAACCTGAAAATGTCCAGAGAACTAAAATCTAAAAGTGTCTATTATCTCTTTTCAGGAAGCAGATAGCTTGGCTGATGCAGAAGAAAGATGTGACCAGCTGATCAAAACCAAAATCCAGCTGGAGGCCAAGATCAAGGAGGTGACTGAGAGAGCAGAGGATGAGGAGGAGATCAATGCCGAGCTGACGGCCAAGAAGAGGAAACTGGAGGATGAGTGTTCAGAGCTCAAGAAAGACATTGACGACCTTGAGCTGACCCTGGCCAAGGTTGAAAAGGAGAAGCATGCCACGGAGAACAAGGTAGGAATCATATTCTGTTCTACCATATAGAGGTTCTGCCACCCTACTAAGCTGCTTTAGAGCAGGTATCATTTCT